CCGCTGGGCAGTCTATGGGTGCTGGGCGTCTAATGCAGGGTTTTGGGCATGCTAAGCATGCACTCTTACCAACTGAGCTATACTGCCTTTGTCCACTACTGTTGCCGATGCTGATCTCAAACTCAGGGTTCCTCCTGGCCAGCCTCCAGAGCAGAGATCACTCACAAGCTGTCATGGCCAGCTTATTCAGAAAACATGGTGGCTGGAAAAGGGGTAGACTCAAACGTACCTCCAATCAGAGACTGAGGGCTTCCCTGGTGTTGCCTTTTGGTGCAGTCCCAACCACTAAGGCCCACATCCTGCTCTAAAAACAAGGGAGAAGGAACAGGCTCCACACTTCCTCCTGCTTCACATTGTCTGACTTTCTCAACGGCACCGTCACCTCTGACACACTGCATCTTATTCTCATTCTTCCGGCTCGCTCCTCACAAGGACGGAAACATTTCGGGAATAGGGCTTCCTAGCCAAAGCCTAGCCCAGGGCCAGAGTTAATAAAGGTTGCACAAATGGCTGAGTGAGGACGCTGGCTCCTCTCGCTGGGGACTGCCACTTCCCTCTCCCGCTACAGCCCTGTCTTTCCATGCACTTAGCAGCCGAGAGCTCAGATGACCACAGGTCTGTATCAGTTCCAGTGGCAGCTTTCCCAGTGTGGTGGCAACAGTTCCTTTCACCTCCGGATACTGTGTCCATCTGTAGTCAGCCCCCTGACCCCCCCCTCCAGCTCCCCTCCCTGACCCAGGAGCCAGCCTGCGCCTTCATCTCGAGTTTCCTATTCTCTGCCTCGTACTGATATCACTTTCCTTGCCGTGTCTGCCAGAGGCTGACAGCAGACACTGGTTAGCTTGCTGTAGGAGGCCTCTTTCTTCTCTCTGCCCTTCCCCACAGCTCCCCAGCCTGTGCTGATTTGAAGGGTCCAGATGTGGCCATAATAGTTCATGCTGGTCCAAGGTGAGAAACTTAGCAAGTTCACAGAGTTGAGGGTGTGCAAACTGAACACTGCCGGCCGCTGACACACAGCACAGTGGACTGGAGCTCCTCTTTCTTGCCGCAGGAGCCACCAGGCCAAGGAAATGATCTCATTCAGGTCCCTGTGGTAGAGCCCTGGTTAGTCCCTGGTAGCACTTCCTTCTGTCCTTCTCAGGAAAACCCCCTTTGGTTCTTCATGGTTCCTTCTTATTTGAATATCTGAAAAAAAATCTCATGTGGACGAGTGCTTTGCTTGCATTTATGTCTGTGCACATGTGTGCCTAGGGCCATGAAGGTCAGAGGAGTCAGACTCCTGGAATTAAAGATGCAGATGGTTCTGAGTCATCATATGGATTCTGGGAATCGAATTCAGGTCTTCTGCAAGAGCAGCCAGTGTTCTTACCTGCTGAGTCATCTTTCCAGCCCTTTTCCTCATTTCTTTTTAAAAAGTAGGATTACCAATAGCCCAGGTTGGCCCTGAAATACCTAAAAAGCTGGGGACAGATTTTGATCCTCCTGCCTCTACTTCCTGAATGTTCGGATTACAGGTATGAGGCACCATGTGCAGTTTATGTGGGGCTGAGGACTGACCCAAGGGTCTGCACACGCTGGGCAAGCGGTCCATTGACTGAGCTCCACCCCTAGCTCCCAAGGCAGCTCGGACACAAATGAACAGACTCAGGTATGTGCGGCTGTTCAGACTCTCTGGTCTGTGGCTGAGGGCCTGTGCCTGCAGGTCTCATGACAGCCAAGTCAGGACACAACTGCTTCTCCAGCAAAGGCAGAGGGAAGGGCCTCTTTCCATCGCCACAGGTTCCACCACCCAGGCTCAGAGAACCTCTGGCCATCTCAAGAGGCCTCTGCTTGTAAGCTCGGGCTCCACAGAAACACCACCTCTACACACATACAGCTGTTCGCCTCATGCTGGTCTATTTTCTGCTCCACACTTCTACCAAGATCTCCGCGAGGGAGAAGTCAGGCCTGCACACCTGTAATCCCAGCACCAGGAAGGCTCAGGCAGGGTCCTGAGTTTGAGGCTAGCTTGGGCTATATAGTGAGACCCTATCCCCCAAACCAGACAATTGGGGGAAAACTGTGTGCCAATCCAACCTTCTGCCTGAAGTTTTCTCTTATCTCCAGCAAGGCCTATGCATAGCTGCTGTTCTCAGGGCAGGGAGCAAGGCCCTCACAGGCACTGTGGGTTTGCAGGAGCAGAAAGGGGGACCCTTGCTAGACCCCGAGGAATAAGGGACTCTGACACAAGAGCCCTTCCATTAGCCACCCCTGCTGAAGGCCACAAGCAGGGAGTGCTGCCTTACCTCCGTTTTCTTTTCTTTTAAACCTCAAATGCTGGCTTTCACCTGAAACCCGAAGTGGTCTTGTACTAATCAACAGGAGTGGCCCAGAGAAAAGGAGTGAAGGTCACAGCTACCTCACACCCCCAGGAGGTCCTGGGCACTCACTCAGAGTAGACCCATCAACAGAGCTGGAGAAGTCTCCATTACCACAGCTCAACTATGCTCCTGCTGAGGAGAGGGAATCCCCTTTTTCAGCAAAGAGGATGGTTCTCATACCTCAGCTTCTCACCTTCTGACTTTCTGAAAGCCAGGGATTGTGGGGGGAAAGTTACCTCATAACATCTTCCAGGAGGCAGTCCTGTGTGACCCTGCCTGCCTGCCCTTGCTCAAGCTACCCAGGCTTGGCTTGTTCCTAGGGGACAGGCCATCCTCTCACCAATGCCTTGGCACCGTCAAAGAAGATGGGCACTCTGCAAGGGCAGGAAGTGTGTCTCACGGCACTTGGGTGTGCTATGCCCCTAAGGACAAGGGATTAGGCTGGTGGTAGGATAAACTCTGGTACACACTTTGAGTTCTGAGCAGGTTCATCGTTCTAACCTTTTCATTACTGGGAGGCCTTGGGGCGCACAAGAATGGGAGAAGCTTCTGCTTACAACCGGGACAGGGGAACACAAAGCCTTCCTTAGTATGGTTAAGATTGAGGAATGACTGCCCTTAGAGACGAAAGAAAGAGCAATGAACTTCATAGTCTGTGAGGTACTGATCCGGGTGCCCAGCGCCCTGCTCAAGGCCACTCACTAGTACCTTGTGGCCAGAACCTTAAACCACGTCCTGAGGAGGTCCTCCGGTTAAAGGAGGCTGGAAGTGGCTGGCTGCACTGTCCAAAAGTCCACTCCAGGAAGAAGCACAGACACCTTGGAGGGCTCAGGACTGAGTCTGTGGAGTAAGACGGGGTGGGGGGTGGGGGGTGGGGGGTGGGAGAGCAGGACGTCTAAGAACCCGTCTACTCTCAATCTCAGATCCCCCTCTTCCCTATCGCCTTACCCTCTCCCCTTCAATACTCTCCTTTCAACCTTTTATCCCCTTCCCCAACTCTCCATCCTCCTCCTTGCCTCCACGCTTCCTTCCTCCACTCTCCCCTATCCCCACTTTCGATTCTCATCTCTCCTTTCCCGTTCCGAGCCCTCTCCTACCCCCTCTCCCTCCTTTGACCCCTTCTACAGGCTCCCCCTTCCCCCACAGTCCTTCCACTCCCCCAGCCCATCTCCCTTACCCATCCCCCGCCCCACGCGTCTCCTCCCCTTCTGCTCCGCCTTCGCCACGTCCCCAGCCCCGCCCGCACGAGCTTAGCGGGGAACCCCGGAGACGTCACCACCCGCAGCGCCCTCCTTCCCGCGCTCTCCAGAAAGGACGCGAAGGTGGTGACGTGTCCTGAGCGTCAGCGCGCCTGCGCACAAGGAGGTGCGTGCTTAACTTGCGGCGCCGCCTGGCGGAAGGACAGCGGCGGTGAGGCTGGGGGTGACGCGTGTCGGCGGCGCGGTGGCGTCATCTCGCGGGGCCGCAGGACCGCGTGCTGCGCCGGCCTCCCCTGTGTCAGTGTGGGCGGAAGCGTGGCTTCATGCCCTGATTTACTTGGTTGGGTAAACAGCTTGGCAACGTCGCGCTGCGAGTCATGTGAAGTTTGAGGACCAGGACACTTGAAGACAGAAGACTGTATGTCATCGACTGAATTCGTGTCTCAGGAACATTAAGTACTATCTCTGGCAGTGTGAGCGGTCTCCCCGCCCCCGTCATGCTGTTTCTCTATGCAGACTCAGGAGTTGGAACTCAGCGTTGATTTTTCACGAGCTAGGCCGCCCCCCCCCCCCGCCCCGTTGGAGCCGGGAAAGGCAGGAGGCAGGTCACGTGCCCCGTCAGGATGTCTTTTGAAGTGTAGTTTCCAGCCTAGCACTTCATGCAATGTCTGGGTGCCTCCTAGAAAGGCGGGTCCTGGACTCTTGCTCTGGAGCTTACTCAGATATACTTTGGCTTTCTGAGGCAGGGCCTCACCTCTGCCGGCCTGGTACTTCCTATGTAGACTAGGCTGCCCTCGAAGGTGTGCCCCATCATGACTGGTAAGAATACGCATTCAGCTAAGTTCCCCGAGTGAGCCCTATACGCTCAAGTTGGACAGGCTGCAGCTCAGCAAGCCTTACAAGGGAGGCTGTAATGCTAGAGCCACAGGCCTGCCCCAAGTTGAGCGTGAATGGAGACAGCCTGAGGAACCTGGCTCAGGGCTCCTAAGGCCTGGTCGCACCCCACATCACAAGATGTTTGTCCAGCCTTATCTACAGAGAAACAGTTCCTTGTATTTTTTTTCCTAAGCAGGCCAGAGCTGGGTTTCTGTCATATCGGATCTACTTGTGGCTTCCAACTGGTCAAAGACAATGAACTGTAATGCATTTATATCAAGGGGCTGGAGACATGACTGGCTAAGAGCATTGGCTACTCTTCAGAGCCCCTGGATTCTCAGCACCTACATGATGGCTCACAACCATCCCTAGGTTCCAGTTGCAGGTGCTTCAACAACCTCCTCTGATTACCCCGGGCACGAGGTACTCATACATATATGCAGACAAAACATGAGAAAAAAAATCTTCATTTCAAACCAATAAAATATTTCAAGTAGAAAGCATACATCGAAGTAAACTAAAAAAAATTTTAGTGCTGTGTAGAGCCAGATCTGTAGCTTCCGTGAGGCTCCTGAGCTTTGCAAGGAGTCAGTCATGCCTACCCTCTAAGAGAAAGATGAGACTCAGAATAACGGACGTGTTTTAAGTGTACGCAGAAGTCATGGCAGGTATGTAGGAAGTCCCCACTGCCTGCACCATCTCCATTCTGTGATGAGTGAATTCAGAAATAGGTTTTGAATTTTATCAGCTGTTCTTTGTTTTTTTGAAACAGGTTCTCACTATGTAGCCCTGGCTGTACTGGGGTTCACTAATATAGACCTCAAAATCACAGAAACTAGGTCTCAAAATAACAGAGACTACTTCTGCCTCCTGAATGCTCAGCTGCTCAAAAATTTAAAGGAAAAAAAAGTGAAGTATCGTTGATCCCTTGGCCCTAGCCACTTTTCCCCATCTGACTACAAAGTAAATTCACCCAAAGGCTTCTGGCTGTGAAATCACGACAGCAATGGCACCATTTAGAAAAAGTAGTGACACTGTACTTTATTTGCCATCAGGATAGAGGATCGGCGTGCTCAGGCAGATCCTTTGCACTCTCTCTGCCCAGGGCATTGTGACTTTTCCACACTGTTGGCTGAGGTCCAGTGCCGCTGACTTTTTAGCGAATTACTGAAAAATGAGCTGCAGGTAAGTCCATGAGAAGGCCAATGACCCGGACGGACTTGACTGCTTTTAAAACGCTGGTCAGAAATAAGTGCCCAGTTTATAACGAAGACTGTACTCAGCAGTGCCCACCCACACAGATGTTCTGAGCACCTGCACCTTAGTTAAGAGCAGTTCATTAGCAGGGACCATATTAAGTGCTACCAGGATTTACAGTGGTCGGGGATGTGCAAACTCCGCAAAATTAACTCTTGATTTGCCTCAAGGGAAAGTGATAGTAGTCAGAGGGGCCAGTTCCAAAGACTGGTCCAGGGGTGGCCTTGGATCTTGGTAGTCAGCCACATGTCCATTCCGGTGGTGACCATACTCAAATTTGATTCGAAGCTCACCAATCTTGGATTGCGGGAGGATGTCTGGGATCCACTCAATGATAAAGGGTGTTGGCTCCTTTTGTTCGGGGGAAGTGTTCCCTACAAAAGGTAGAATGGGAGGTTAATTAGTATGGGTCCACCTGACTTCCATTAAAACTATTCCTATGTTTTTGGTTTGTTTTTGTGACGTGGTGTTACCGGAGCCCAGAATGTCCTCATACTTACTGTGGAGTATATAATAACTCTAGATCTGGACTGGTAAGATGGTTAGTGTAAAGACACTTGGGGCATAAGCCTGGCAACTTGAGTCTAATCCCCTGAACCTATATAAAGTTGGATAAGTACCAGCTCCACACAGCTGTCCTCTGAGCTCTGTATACGCTGTGGCAAACGGACGACAACTCCTCCACCTTCATGCATGTGCATGCATGCACACACAGAGACATACTATAACAAGAACATTAAGAATAAAGAGCTGAATGGCCAATAGTGAGGCAGGAGCAAGGTCAGGTGGGGTTAGCAGGCAGAGAATAAATAGAAGGAGAAATCTGCGAGAGAGGTAAAGGAGCAAGAAAAGGAGAGGGGATCCTAGGGGCCAGCCACACACCAGTCACGGATAAGAGTGAAAGTAAGATAGAAGTAACAAAAGGAAAAGTCCAGAGGCGAAAGGTAGAGGAGATAACTTAAGAAAGGCTGGCCAGAAACCAGAAGGTAAGGCCGGGCATTTATAAGTAAGAGTAAGCTTCCACGTGAGTGATTTATTTGGGAGCTGGGTGGCAGGTCCCCAAAAAGTACTCTTAAAAGAGTAAAACTTCACACAACACCCCAACTCTTGGGAGATTGAGGCATGCGGATTGCAAGTTCAAGTCCACCCTGTAGAAGGCAAACGAAACAGGAAGCCTTTCAGGAGAAAAAGTAAAAAGTTAAAAAACAAAAACCAAACCATGTAAGTAGGGGCTGGAGAGGTGGCTGTGAGCATTTGCTGCGTTTGCATAGGACCTGTTTCTTCACAGCCAGCCACACCGGTCGGCTCTCAAGCACCTTATAAATCCAGCTTCAAGGGAGCTTCTGTTGGCACAGAGCACACAAACCTTTAAACATACGTAAATATAAAAGGTGAGAAAAACCAGAGAGCCTAACAGTAATACGGATAGGTATACTTTTTCTCTCAGCATTATGGCTCCATAAGCTAATAACATTTTTTGGACCTCACTCTTCATTTTATTCCAAAACAGACTTTCTGAGCCCCGTCCTTCATTGTGCCAGCTGTTTCCTTCTCACAATGGCCAGGAAGGAAGCAGGGACTTCTGCTATGGCTTCACCTAAATGTCATCAGGAGAGCACAAGTTGACAACAGGTGGCACTGAGTGGAGGTGGAGGGCACCCCACTGGGCTCTGCTATCAACACCAGCATTCACAAATGATGCTGTGTGGGGAGACAGGAAGAAACCCTAGCCCTCCCATTTGTGCCCAGGTGGAACTTGTACCAACCACAGAACAAACAGCCATGCACTGACTGCAAAGCATGGCTAACACTGACTAGCAGATTCAAAGGACTGAGCGGTCTGCACGAGGAGAGTAATATGGACAGATATGGACAGGGTAAAAAGAGGAACACAGAAACCCACGTGCCGTTGGCCAGGCGGTGGTGGCGCACGCCTTTAATCCCAGCACTTGGGAGGCAGAGGCAGGCGGATCTCTGTGAGTTCGAGACCAGCCTGGTGTACAAGAGCTCTTTCCAGGACAGGCTCCAAAGCCACAGAGAAACCCTGTCTCGAAAAACCAAAAAAA